TTATTGCAAAATTGCCCAAATAAACTCTATAAAAAACAATTAATATTAAAGAAAAATTAATATACTATTAACGTGCAATCCTTGCGAATTGCGACAATTAGATAGGGTGTTTAAGTAGTGATTCTTTTAAGTTTATGTAGTGACTCAATTCAGTTTATCTTAAGATTTATAATCTACACAGTAGTGTACTCACGACAAGACTAGAAGCAAGGCAGCTCAATTGATTCAGAGGTATAATAATATGTTTATTGACGATAAGTAATATAATAGATAATAATATATATAAAATAAGAACGAATAAAAGAAATCTAAAATGTTAAAATACTAAGTGAGATATTAGACCAGGCACCTCTACAAGGACTACTAGATATGTATCTAAAAGTAAAACCAAGGAAAAACTAAAAATGAATTACAAGCAAACTACAGCTTACATGATTTTATTGCTCTCTATTTATATTAAATTACTACATAGATGGATATAACAAATAAATCAAATATATTTAATATGTCTGATATATCACAGATATTAATTATATTAAATATGTTCAGTATATCAAATATATCAAATATATCAAATATGTCTGATATATCTGATATTTAGATCTGTAATATACTGCGTCATGTTTACCAATCCAATCCTGTTACAATATTTACCACTTTAGTTATTATTGTTAAGATCACAAATCCTGAAATAATAGAATTTAAATTAAACAAATAAACAAAAAAAAAATAAAATAATAAATAAACAATAAATTAACTCACCACTAACCATTAGTAATTTATTAATCTACAAAAAAAAATATTAGTTAAATAAATTTTAAATAATAATTAAATTATAAAATAAACTCACATATCGCTTACTACAAAATAGCCAGTTATTATTATTAAAAAAGAAAAATAAATAAATTTAAAAAATAAATAAATAAAGAAATAAAATTCACTTACCAATGAATCAATAATTGCTAAGAAATTTGTTGCTATCATTCTGAATAATATAATTTAAAAAAATAATAAATAAATAAATAAAACAAAAGAAATTAACAAATAAACAATAAATTGCTTACCATAACTATTAGTAATTTATCCAAGCTACAAAAAAAAAAAATTAAAATGATATTAATTAAATTTAATAAAAAATTAAATCCCAACCTTTTATTACAAACAAAATTGCTAATTAATATCAAAAAATAAATAAATAATAAATTAAAAAAATAAACAAATGAAAAAATTAAATTAAAGTAACTTACCGCTATAATCACTAATCGCTAATTTCATAATTTTTAACTGATCCTGAAATATAGAAATTTAAAAATTAATAATTCTAATTTACACACATTTTGATAATTCTTCCTTTCATTTCATCCTACTACCTTACTACTCTACTGCTTTCCACTGCCTCCCACTTATCCTACTACCCTCACTGCCTCCCATTGCTCTCCACTGCTCCAATTTCCACTTTACTACTCACTTAATTAGATACGAACTCTAAAATAAATTAATAATATATTAACAAACAGCAAAAAAAGATTAAAAAAAATATTTACTTACCGCAGCTGAAGTTGGTAAACTTGCTTTCTTCAGTTCTAAAGAAAGAAATTTACAATAGTATATCAGCAAAAAAGATTATCAATTTATTAATTGATAATCAATTCAAGATCTGAATTCAAATTCAAATCCAATCTGAATCTGATGAATTAGATCCAAATCTAATCTGAATCTGACGAATTAGATCCAAATCTGAATCTGAATCTGAATCTAATGAATCAAATCCAATTTAAATCTAAATCTGAATTAGATCTGATCTGAATCCAATCTGTCAGATTCAGATTAGATTCAGATCAATCTGAATCTATGTGGAACACTAGTATATAGTAATAATCATAAGAAGTATTACAAATAATGTTAAAATAAAAATCAAAATTTTTCAGTCTTCATAAATTTAGATTTTAATTAAATATAATTATATTATATATTAGGATAATTTAATCAATTATAATACTATAAATATATAAATTTTTATAGTATAGAAAGTTGATACATATAATGTAAAAAGGTCATTATAAAAAATTTTATTGAAAAATTTCTGAAAAAAATTATTATATATATATATTTTTTGAATAAATAAAATATTATTTTATGAAATTTCAACTATCCTTATTTACAATATAATATTTATTACCTAATTAAAAAACTTAACACATCGATCAATAGCTGATATCCTTATAAAATTATAATAACTAAATTCATTAAAAGATAATACACCTAAGTTATTTTCAGTAATTGGTTTGTCCAATAGATGTATATGAATATTTTCTTTTCACCATTAAAGATATATAAAAAAAATTTAATAATTCTATAAAAAATCTTTGTTATAAATTCAGGTTTTTGATATTTAAACTTCACTCACTTATCAACTTCCATTTTACTTAAAAAATTTATTATATATTAATTAATTCTATATAATATAACATAAAATTTAATATACTTACTTTTATAGTATAATTAATTCTAGTCCAATCATTATTCTTATGAATCCATTTTGAACTAATAAAATATTTATCTTTAATTAACATATATCTAAATATTATACCTTCTTTTAAAAGTCTCTAAATAAATTAATTATATTAAAAATAAAAAATAATTAAAAATTCAATATATAATACAGTATTTAGTTAAATACATACATTTGAGCTTTAATCAGACATATCATATGATATTGAAAGATTTTCTTTTATTTTTTTAAGCTGACTTTGTGAAAGAATATGTTTTTCCGTAAGAAAATAAAATTCTTCTTGATAATATTCATTAGAATATACTAAATAATTAGCATATTTTTTTGAAGGTAATTTTGATAAAAAGGTCAGATATCGATAAGGAAGGTAATTAATTAATTTCATAAGATGTATATTATTAATAATAATTTTATAAGGATGTATATGAGATTTTGCTAATAGAAGCAGCATTCTATAAACACATTTTATAGGAAATTGCTATATTATCTAATAAGAATCTGTATTTTTAATGCTATCTGTAACATATAATAAATAATGAAAATAAAGTTTCATTGTACTAACACATTCTTTAATATAGTATTCCCTATATGATATTAAATAAAGTATTAGTTTATAGTATTATTAGGAATAAAAATTAAATATATATTTATCATATATATTTACCTTTCATAATACTTATAAAAAGCTAATAATAATGTTTGAATTTTAGATACATCTTCACTAATCAAATGTAATTTTTTGCATAATCTGATTGCTTTAACAAATAAAGCCCAACTTTTATAATATATTATTAGAAGCCTATTTTTCAATAATGGTAATGAATATATTATAATTCATGCTGCCCATTCTTCAGCCTTATAGCCAGTATGATAAAGAATAATATTTTGAGGTAGACGTCCAAGATAGAATGGAAATGTTTTTCAAGCTTTATGCATTAAGTTTCTAATTTCATTTTATATAATATTATTAAGAATATACAATCTATTATTTTCAGTGCTGTTACTAAAAAATATACCATTTTAATGTTTAAACATATTTTGCAATGTTTTTAAATATTAAATACATTATATCTAATGCAATAAATATGAAAATGTTGTTGAAGGTAAATCAAACAATATGCTTCGATGCTTTATTATAATTAATATATTAAAATATACTGTAATTTAAAATAATTAATATATTATATCAAAATAAAATTTATCATAATTTTATTACATTTTTTTAATTTCTTGTTAGGTTGTTGCATATTCTAAATCTTTTATCATTTCTTTATATTCTTTATATGACCTCAAAGGTAAATTATTTGGATCATAATTTATTAAATCAAATTATATAGGAGGAGTAGTAAGATAATATACATAATTCACATAAAGTCCTTTGACATTACAATAATAGCATCCCTTGTATGAATTGTGTCCACTTAAGCATATCTTTTTAATTAGACCTGATGTATCTCCAGACTAAGATAAAACATGTGCTTTTAATATAAAATGATTTTTAGTCATTTCATTTATACAATTAATACTATCTATTTATAAAATAAAATTTGTTAGAAATAAATTTATAAATCAATATAATAACTGTAAAAAAAAACTTAACTGACTAGTTCTTTAAGTTCTTCAATAATTAGCTTTATAAATGAATTAAAATCCTTTGGTTCTTTAGATCTAAAAATTATTGATATAATTAATAAATTTTCCTTAAGTATTCATTTTTCTGGTAAAAGATTAACATTTATAAATAATACAACCCAACAATTATCAATTTTTTGTCTAAAAATCTGATAACTATCAATAGATCTAGTTAAAGCAATATTATGTTCACCTTGAAAATATCCTATTTTTAGAAGATCCAAATAATAATTTTCATCAAATACATCTCCTATTTTACCATCTTCACCAAATCCACTATGTGATGTATATGTATGTCAATATCGTAATTTATCTGCATGATTTGGATTCTCATACTGTATTTTTAAATGCTCTTTTAGAGAAAAATATGCAAATTAATAACATGATTTTTTCTGCTGTCCATGATCATTTTTTTGATATTTAAGTTCATTACAATATGGACAATGAATTTTGTTCTTAAATGATCCAGTATATATACAGCATGAATAAATACACATGTCAAACTATTTTGGTTTAATATTTACTAATTTTTTCAACACAGTCTTTATTGGTAAAGACTAATTAGATTACTACTTGTGGTTTTTATTATTTAGTTAAATGCATTATTCGTTAAATTGCATTGAATTTTAATTTCAAAGAGCTGTAATACACATGTCAAGTCATCTGTTATGTTCAACTCAGATTCACTTAAACCAGTTTAAAATCCCATTAATAATTGAATTAATTTTATAATTAAAGATATAAATTAAAAACTCACTATTATTTATATTTTTAGATAAATCTGATTCATATAAATCACCTAAAGGTATATTATAATTATCATATTCTTGAACAATTCTTGTTGCATATAAAGATATTATAATTTATCAAACTCAGTATCACTTGCGTCACTTGAAACATTTGAATTATTATCATAATTTATATCACTTGAATCATTTGAATTATCATAATCCTTTGTATCATTTATATAAACACTTGCATCACTTAAATTGTTTGAATTATCATCATCCTTAGCATCATTTAAATAAACATTTGCATTACTTGAATCATTAAAATCATAATTATTGTAATAATATTTTTGTGTTTCATCCATTTCATCCATAAAATTATCTTGATCATCATTTCTATTATTTCATTTATTAGTAAATTTTTGCATTATATTAAAAGGAAATAAAACCTCAGTAATCTATATACCTTTCTTTTAAAAGATTATTATTATCATCAAAGTATTCTAAATCCTCTAAGAAAATAATTTTTTGTCTATTTATACTTATACTTCAATTTAATTCTTTTTTTCTATACTTTCTAAAAATATTTATTGAAACTAATTTACCTCTTAATTCTGAATTTTCAGCTTTACAAATAAAACATTTACAAAATTCAAACATTGTATAAAATTTAAATAAAAAAAATTTTTTATTATGCTGATAATCTATTTCAATGAATACAAGTTGTACAGATCTTATTAAAAATTTTTTATTTCTTAAAATAGAATAAAAGGTGCTGTAAATAGTAATTTGTTAGTTATTTTTTGTAAAACGAATATTATTTTAATATATCCTATAATGAAGGTAATACTTGTAGTAAGAACAATTGTATAAAATACAGTTTGAGTGATAATATTAATAAAAACTTCGCTAAAAAAATTGTTTAGAAATATTAAAAAATTAAAATAAAATTAAAATAAACATAAATAATAATAATTTAGTTAGTTTTATTTAAACTGCATAAATATCAATCAATCATACTAATCATTTTTATACATGTAAATCAATTATATTTTAAAATCACTACTTTAATTTTTTATAAATATTTATCATTATAGATAAATCAAAAAAAGAAAAATTATGTAAGATAAGGCTATGTATAATATATAAATAAAAAATTTTATAAAATAAAATTTTTTTTTTGTTGATTGTTAAAAAATTCTATTTGGTAAGTATAATTTACATATATAATTATATGTATAAATTATTAACTATATAAATACTAGTATTCTTTATTTAGTATACATGTTGATCAAATATCTTTTTGAGGGATTTTTTTAAATTTTTTCTTTTTAAAAAAAATATTTTAACCCTGTTTAAATTTTCAAACTCGCCTTAAATTTTTGCATTCTGCTTCTGTTATATTTTTTTTAATTTTCAAACTCTATCTGTTATATTTTTTTAAAAACTCTGCCTTAAATTTTTGCATTTCGTTTCATTATATATTTTTTTAAACTTTCTTTTAATTTTTCAAACTCTATTCTATTATATTTTTAAAACTCCGCCTTAAATTTTTTGCATTCTGCTCCATTATTTTTTTAAACTCTCTTTTAATTTTCAAACTCCATCTAATTATATTTTTTTAAAACCCTACCTTAAATTTTTGTACTCCACTCTGTTATATTTTTTTTAAACTCTCTTTTAATTTTTCAAACTTCATCCTGTTATATTTTTTTAAACTCTGCCTTAATTTTTGAACTTTACTCTATTATTTTTTTTAAAACTCAATTTAAATTTTTTTTTGTAAAACATTACTAATATTTCTTTCTTTTTTTTTATTTAATAACAATCAATCAAAAATTAATCAATCATATTATTATATATATACATTTACAGATTTATAATGCTGATTAGTATAACAATAATTAATATAAAAGTAATGACTTTTTTAAAAAAGCAAAAAAACACTTCTTACTTTTTAAACTTTTTTTTATATAAACTAATTTGTTTATCTTCTATTTTCCTTTTATTCAAACTTTTAAAATGCTTTCTTTTAAAGATTTATCAGAAAAAATTTGTAAAATTTTAAATGGATTTAGTCATAAATGTTGTATAGTTTTATTTGGGGAACTAAATAAATTTGAAGCATAGTTGATTAGCAACCAAGTTACTAATTTAGTAAGTAATTACAATCCTTTAATCCTTTAAGTAAAATTGAATAAGGGCTTGTCATCAAATCTCCAATTTGTGAAAAATCAATGCTGTAATGTAAAGAACAAGTGTGTTCAATTTTTTAAGATATAGGAATATACTTTTGAATATATAGATCAGTTACCATTAAGATTAAATTATAAATCACATGATTTGTAATATAATTTTATATTCATATGACTTTAAGGTCGTATATTTCCTTCTATATATGCTTTTAGCATATGCTAATTTAGGTTTCATTAGAATTAATATATTTTTATATTTAAAAAAATTATTTATTTATTTATTTATTTTTTTATTTATTTATTATTAATTTTAATAGAATCCTATATCTGTATTTAATAAATATGTAACTATTAATAAAGATAATAATTTTTTTAAAAATTTATTTTTAAGTTAGCAAAATTGGATCAAAATTCTTTTTAAGGATTTTCATAGAGTTATTAAAACTCTCTATCATTTTAATGTAAATCATAAGCCAAATTTAGCTAAAAAATATCTTCACAAATTTATGACTTACGCAGATATAGAAAATGAAAAGAATTTAGTGATTATTAATGAAAAGCAATCAGTTATTTTAAAATTTAGTAATAAAATTGTTAGTAATGTAATTCGTAATATCACTAAAAAAATATAGCAAATCATTTTAGATATAAAATGAAACTTACAGTAGATATTCATTCTAAAATAAACTGTAAATAAAGACTTATGTCAATTCAAGAAATTAGTTATAGTCTTCATACAAATTTTTTAAATCTATCTACTACTGATTTATATGTATATATAAAAAAAATCTTAATCTTAAGATACAAAGAATATATGATCAGAATAGACATAGTTTTAGAAAATGGTTATATGAAAATGCTGAAAATCATATACTATAGTCTACACTATCATATGAAGCTTTTAAACTAAAAGTAAATAAAAATAATGATCAGATGATAGTGCAGTATTTTGTGTTAAATATTATGAAGCTGCAGGATATTAAGATAAAGATTGATCTAAATTTGCAATAGGCTTTGTTTATGAAATTAGTGTAGTTAAAAAAGGATATTTTATTTATCCTAAATATGATATTACTATCAAAATGATATTAAGTTCAATATGGTATTGGTTAATACAAGCTGTACATAATACAGCTAAACTTAATTTAAGCGAAGGTGGTATTAGATATACTAATGTGATTACTTTAACTGAAAAAACTACAAAAATAGTAGAAAAAGAAGCAGGTATTTAGATAGTTAAATTTTTTCTATTATTATTTTATTATTATATATAAATAAAAAAATAAATAAAATAGAATTTATACTTTTATTTTTAATATATTTTATTAAATAAAATATCATTTAAATTAAATAAAAAAACTCCTAAAAATATTAAATCTATTAAATTAAACAATTAATAATAATATAATTTTTATAATTTTAAAAATATTAATTTATTAACAATATATTGTTAGGATTATATTTTCTGCAAAAGATTTAAAAATTTATTTGTTTTAATCTACTGAAATGTATTCAATAATAGAAAGTAATCTAGCATTTCAATTTTACCTGTTTTCAATATACAATCTGAACATTTTTGTATTAGAAAAATATATATATAATTCAATACATATTCTGAACATAAATTTTAATATAAATTCTGAACATATTCTGTATTAGAAAAAAGATTAAATTTCTTTCTATACAAATTCCAAATATTTCTAAGGTTTGAATAAATCCATACAGCAAGCTTGATTATTTTTTAGGATAAATAATAATTATTTTCTGTATATTCTCTAATATATCTGAATAGATTCAGAACATTTTCAATGATATTTTCTAGACATTTTTTTTATAGGGATACTTTAAACATAGAAGTATCAGAAATGTTAGGAGAAGTTATATTATCAGTATTATTATCTATGGTATTTGATATATTTGTTACAATAAAAATGCTATTAGGTTGCAAAATTTCAGTTTTTGTCTTTTAACATTTTTGTTAATATTTCTTTATTTGTATTTTTATTGAAATCTTTTGAGAATAAAGTAATTGTTTCTTTTTTGATTGCTAGAGATTTATAGTATTAATATTATAAGGTTTAAGTATTTAGCGTAGTTATTTTTTCTTCATGTTATTAAAGACATTTTGGTTAAAAGATCAATGGAAAGAGTTTGTAATTTAGCAATTATATTTATTAGAAAAATTGTATTTCTATTTAGCTAAATATTAAAAAAAACTTGTTACTCTAATATTTCTCAAATAATTATAAATTGATGTTACTACTTCAGTCTATTGTAGACTATTATAAATTGAAATTAAAAGACTATTATACAGTTTAACCTTTATTGAATTCAAATTCTATTATTTCAAATATAATTAAAGTAGCAAAAAAACTCAAATTACTTTAAGAAATCAGTTGAAATTTAATTTGATATAATAGCATCTTTAATAATAAATCTATCTTTAATATTAACATATAATATAATAAATAAAAATTAATAAAGTCAATCAAAATTACCTATTGAAGAACATTGATATAATCTTAATGAAGAATAGAAGAATAATGAAAATATCTTTTACAGAGATGATAATAAGAATAATAAACTCTGAATAATAAAAATATTGCAGCAATTATTAAATAAATGAGTAATTTTTTTAAAGACATTGTAAAAGAAATTAGGGATGCTTGATTATAAGCATTTTCAAGAAAACTATTATTATACCAGTATAATTATTCTAAAAAAATAATAATAAAGACTAGAAGAATAGCTTAAATATTTTGAAACAGCTATAATAGCAAATAATTAAACAATTAAAAAAAAAAGTAATAATATTATAGGATATTTAAAAAGACCAGTAGCATTATGATATAATAATATTTTAGCAACGTTTGATATTAAAATTTGTAAATAAATGCTAATACAAGTTTTGTTATTATATTTAAAATTTGTTTTACTATATTTAAACAAAAAAATAAATAATACTATAAATTGTTTAATAATAAGCAATTTATAAATAAAAGTACAAATATTTATAATACTAGGTTTAATAATCTTAAAAGATTATTAATCTAAATAAAAATTTATCAGATGATTATATAATTAGATTATTTTTAAATGAGTTAAAATCTAATATTATATTAAGAGTTACAATAACAGATCCTATTAATATAAAA